AGCTGCCGTAGAGTCCGACTGCTCGATGTCCAACCTGTTGAATTCCCGGAACAATAATCCACATAACAACCAATTGCATGGGGTTGGCATCTATAGGATATCTCCATGTTGTTCGAGCTATAAATATATTAATATGGAAGAGTTTTTTTCTTTTACAACCAAGGAAGGAGATCGTGGAATATTAAGATAGACTGAGATATGATTTTTCTGGCCTAGTTTTTTTTTCCGAGGACTTTGTGGTTCGTTAAGAAGGAAGGTTTATTTTCTTTATCAACCGAGGAAACATATTGTGGAGTATTAACGTAGATTGGATATGATTGTTTTTTTCTCTTTTACAACCAACGAAACAGATCGTGGAGTATTAAGATATAAATAGACTAAATTAAAAAGATAGATTGGGATATTATTATTTTTGTACTGTTTTGAACACGAAGAAAGGAGAACGTGAGTCTTTTCTTTTGCAACCGAGGAAACCTATTGTGCTGCATTAACATAGATAGAGATATTATTTTTATTTCTTCTACAACCAAGGAAACAAATCCTGGAGTATTAATTTTTTTCCGTGGCATTTTTTTCTGAGGTTTTTGTCGGTTGATCTACACCGTAATAACTCGGTCCTACCAGATTAACGACTCGTAAAATATAATTAACGTGGGAATTTTTAGGAAGTCTAGAATTAGTATAGGTATAGATTTAAGTTTGCTTGTATTATTCCAAGTAATCTGACTGAAGGTTGAGCTATGTCTACTGTTGGAGAAGAGAAGAACGGATGTGCTGAGGTCTAATCTGTTTTGAAATATCAAAGATGTTCATCAGTTTGAGCCATTATAATTTTAACCTTTGTAACATGTAATAATCAAATGGAATGTGTCGTCGATACGTACCTGCTTCCATCGTATTTACCACTGACTCTATGGAGGATACTATTTTGTAGCTGGTCCACTGATTTATTTCATGATAAACCCAACCAGAGGTTTGGCTGGTGGTTTTGGTGAAACTAAAAACTGTTAGCATGTATAAAAGATCACTAGATCTGGATAATCTCTTTGCGAAGATTTTTTTTGAACCGAAACCGCAGAACAATTGTTCTATGGTATATTTTTATTATATAACGAATGTACAAATACAAAGCTAAAAAAAAGAAATAGTTTGAATCAACCAATGCCTGTTCTAGGGATCGACATAATTAAATTAGAGATTCTGTTCTATCCAGGAACGGATCTTATCAGCCTTGGTTTCTTTAGCTCTTATTTCAGTAGCTTGGAGCCCCTCTTTCGGATAATGCTTCCATGTGTCCACTGTTGGTGTTGCCATTCTGAAGATCTTATCATTCCTACTCATCCATATGCCCCAGCACCCCATTATTATGACATCCATAGCAATTGCCGAAGGGAGTTTGGTCAAGGTCAGATGAACTTCATCATATACTTAAATGCCTCTTTGTTTACTAGGAATGATAGAACACCACCACATCAAGGCAAATTGGCAATCCCAAAAGGGGTGAGTTACAGTTTCCCCAGTGGCATCTGAACATAGTGCGCAGTTGTAATCCTCCAGATACATACCTTTCCTTTGAATTAAGTTCCTAGTGCTTACTCTGTCACTGAATAACAACCAAAAGAAGATCTTATGCCTAAGTGTGCATGCAGTTTTCCAAAGGAGTCTGAAGATATTGTGTGTTGTGCTTTCCCCTTTAATGGCCTTGTACATTTTCATGGATGAATACTTAGGGGCTGACCATGTATACAACTATGACTGTATTAGTTTGGCCAAAGCTAATAAAAAATTAAAAAAATCTACCTACAATTAAGTCCACTTCAGAAGTAAAATAAACCCTGAACCTACTACTATTGTTTCAGGTATGTTGTAGTATTCTCATGTTCTCATTGTTTACCTTCTGGTTAATGTAATACATATATCATTCGTGTCGTTCCTTTTTGTTGCTTCTGGAGGTATTGTACGTGTACTGTTGAGAAAAGGATGATTCAGATGATTCTTTATAGAAATTGTTTTCTCGTCATCCAGAGCACATTTAGTGGAATTGTTTCTTTTGTGTATGTCAAAGTACTCTTCTGTATATTTATGTAGGTTGATGGATTAGAGAGATCTGATGGAGACGGTTAAGAAAGATTACTAGCGAGAACTAAGTGCAAAGGTACACAATGGAATATTCGTGGTGGCTATATTTCTTATATTGACACCCATCATTGCCCGGCTACGTGTTGTTCTCTTTTGTTGATGATGTCTTGTTGCTATTGATCTTTCATACTGGGCCATTAAATTTTATAGTACCTCCTATTTGACAACCAGATTACCAACTAGAGAAATGCTATATATCATAACAAGTTAACCTTGATAGCTGGATATTAAACCAAACTGTAGTTCCATTGAACTGACATAGTACCCTATAAACAAAATACAACAGGTGTTGGAATTGACAATCATAGCCTTAATTATATCTAAAGTACAATAGTGTGCTTTTTATTTTCTTAAGTCTGTCCATTTTGAAAGAATTACTTTCACATGCAAAAATTATTAATTTGTTTATCGGCTTACCTTTGTAACGCCCCGGACACACCCGTCGGTGGTTGTTACTCCTGGCGAGATCTAGACTAGCCCCACAGATCAATACTAGTCTTTCCTGTGCATTCTCTTTCGGAAAAGAAGGAATTTCATATTGATATGAGTAGTCTACTATCCCTATTAAGCCAGGATATTACAATCTTCTCCAACATGTTCGTTCCTTTATGTTGCAACTGCATCAGAATGTGAAACAATTAGGGTGTATTTACTTCTAAGGTTTTATTTAATAATTTCCTTATTCCTGGGTAACTGTGGCGCATATTTTTCTAGAAGAGACAGTGCTATCTGATGTTGTTATTTCTGTTAGTAGTTGCCTGGGTAATTGACTGTTTAGTCTCTATTATGTCTGGACATTAAGTTTGTGCAGATTATATCATTAGGTATAACTTTCGCTTAGAAACATGCTCTGAACTGAGACATGTCCATTTGCCTGCAGCTCCAAGATCCCTAACAGACAGGTTAGAACAAATAAGATTGACTTTCTTCTGGAGTAAAAAAAAAGAATCGAGCTAAGTTGAGACGATGTTGATAGCTGAAATTATTCATGTCTCCAAGATGATGAGGAATTTAAAAATCATCAAGATAAACAGGAAGGCGAATATGTGGCGCAGGAGATTGAGAAGTTTAGTTTTATTAATATGCCTGATGGTATTCGTATTAATAGTGTTCCGCCATGTGTGGTTTATGTACCAACGTTTGTTTTAGTTAATTAATATATGGGTGGGGTTTAAAGAAAAGATCATGTCAAGTACCTCAAATATACCAAATGTTAGTGTAGCTACACGTGTTCCTTATACCTATGTGATACATGTCTGTAGTGTGATCTGTTAAGATATTGCAATTGTGGGTTGCCGTATTTTAACTAGGAAGCTTGTGTGAGGAAGCTCCCTGCTTCTTGTATGTGAGCTTTTCCAACAGTATTATCTCGTATGTATATTCAAGTGTTGCACTAAGTATTTATGCTCTCTTTGTAGTTTTCCAATTGCCAATAACTTTATGATGGGTATTGTCAATGCAATGCTATATTCTGATCAATCAACTTGAATCGCTACTTTTTAGTGCAATTAAAATATCTTTTTGTACATGCTAATTCTCACATATGTTTGTAATATTAGTCGAGATGTGCAGTTGCACGTGAACAATTACTAGTTCATCCCAAAGTCCAAACTGATGAAGAGAGACACGTGTCTCCGACTCGCATGAGCTTTGCTCCGAAGAGCTTGGAGGTTGGCCCGTCACAATGCAGGTCTGACGATGTCCTTTGTGGCGCGGACCTCGTATATGATCTTGGTTCGATGCTGTGGCGACAGTGACCTCTACCGAGATGATCGGTCGACGGTCAACCTATGGCTAGGACGGAGTGAGAAGGTGCTCGGGGTGGTAGGTTTTTTGGGCATTGCTAGTTGGCTTTAAATAGCCCGAGCAAGCGAATCGTTGGGTTGATGTGGGTGGCCGAAGTAAAGTTTCTTATTTTGCCCCGTCGGTGTGAATGCCGGGCAGGCGGATGTCCGACATGAATGAGGGTGGAAAGCCGCCCCGCTCGGTCCCATCATGCGGCGTAATTAAAGAGCGATAGGACGCAATAAGAGTGGTAGTAGAGAGGTTTTTGGGTGGATCTGCATTGTTGGATGCTCGTATACCTCTTTTTTTGTTGGGTTTCGGTTTTGTGGGATTTTGAATGTTAGAATACTTTTTGGATAATTTTATGACTGCTATTGGATTGACAAAAAAAATATTGGACCCCTATTGCAGATATTTGTGGGCAATTTGATGATCGCGTTGGAGTTGACATGACCCGGGATCTGATAAGGTCTGACGGGCCATTCCGTTGCGTTCCTAGCGGCTGAGTAACCGGTGGGGAACGGATATGAATGGTCGTGCCCCGTGCGGCAGCGTGGAATACAGTGTCCTGTCCGTCTCATCCCGCGGAGTATACCTGGCCATCTGTCAGCCGGCCCGGGCTTCGGGCCGGTCCTACCAAAGTCCGATTTAAAAAACCCAGGCCCGAGCTGAGCCAGGCCGGCCGACGGGCCTAAAAACCAGGCCCGAGCCCGACCCATCACGCTAAAAGCCCGCCGGGCCTCTTCCTTAAATGGTGAATACGCCGGGCCCGGGGTCTCAAAATCTAGGCCCAGGTCCCGCCCTTGGGCAAGGTCAGGTCGGGCTTTTTCGGGCCGGATCGGGTCGGGCCGGGCTGCCCATGGCCAGGACTACCGTGGAGACAGGCAGTCACGTGGCGAACCGACCGACCGACCCTTGTCTTCCCATCTTCTACTCTCCCTCTCTACCCGTCCCTGTTCCCTTCCCCCTTCCCCGAATCGAAAATCCCCCGCCCCTCGCCGAATCGATACCGCGGCATAGGCGATCTCGCGATCCTGTGGTCGGCCGAGCCAACCAAACCCTAAGAAGCACGCCCAATGCCGATCCCGCAGGACGAGGCGGGAGAGATTTCGGGATCTAGGTCGAGGGCAGGGCGGTGGAAGCGGCGCACCCCGGTGGCGGACTGTTCGGGGAAGGCCCAACCGGAAGCCGCGCCGTCATCGCAGCGAGGCAAGAGGAAAGCCTCCCCGGAGCCGTCGGCCGCAGCATCGCAGCAGCGAGGCAAGAGCGAAGCCCCCCTGGAGCCGTCCGAGGGATCCAAGAGGCGGAAGGGAACCACCAAGAAGCGGAAGGGAACTGACAAGAAGAAAGCCGCTACGAGCACGGGCGAGCAGGCGGCCCCAGCTTCACCAGGCGCATCGCATGCCTCCTCCTCCTCCTCCTCTGCAGTCAGCTCTCCTCTGCGTTGGCCTCACCCCCCAGCCTACATCCGAAACCCAGAGAATGCCCATGACCCTGCGATGAAGGATGCCCTTGAAGCTTATGACGAGCTCAAATGCAAGTACCGTGCAAAAAGAAGTAAGTTTGGGAGACGCATACACTCTGCTTTCATTCTACTATCTGATTAGTGATTGCTAGGATAGCTATGCACCTCTAACAAAAAAACAGTTGTCAATAACGAATGAAACATGTCTATTTTGCTCAAGATGATATGTATTTGAACACAGTAGACTGATTCACCATTTTTTGCATGTTAACATGCAGAGCTCCAACAACAGCTTGCAACGCTTGATATGTCTATTTGTGGTTCGTGTATGGCGAATGCAAACTTGCAGAGCGTTCGTGAGTCTACTACAAAAACAATCCTCCAAGCAGCTAAAGTTATTTTTAGCTTTTCGTCCTATGTCGGTATGTAACACATTGCCTTTATTTAGTGTCTCTGTATAGTTTTGGTTTTTCTCTTATGTATTGTTGCATCCTACAAAGCATGAACACGGCAGAAGAAGTTGCCGAATCCCCGTTCTGATACGGCCGGACACGGGGACACGCGGGGATACACGTATCCCTCAGTATTTTCCAAATTATGAATTAAAAAAAGAAAAATAAAAGGGAGGACATGGCTGGGACACGTGGGGGACTCGCAAAGAATAAAATTAGATGGCTAATGGAAGATTAATCCACCAGTCGGAGCAGCACCCTCGTGCGACTTGAGGCAGCGCTGGATCTGGAGCACCCTCCTGCCTCAATGCTGCTGCTGTTGCGCCCTCGCCACCGTGCTGCTGCTGCCTGCGCCCTTGCCCCCGCCGCCGTTGCTGCTGTTGTGCCCCCGCCGCCGTTGCTGCTGCTACATCCCCCGCTGCAGCGCTGGCCGCCGCTGCTGTTGCTGCTGCAGCGGCAAGAGGAGCAGGTTCGGAGGAGGGCGGTGGCGAGAGCTGCTGCGGGGAGTTGAGAGATCCATCGCTGGGAGGAGAGGCGATGGCAAGAGAGTGGCGGGTTGGTCAAGTGTTAGGGCAGAGAGAGATAGGGCTTGAGTTTTGACGGTGCACATTAATCTGTAGCATCCAGTGGCTCTTGAAATGGCACTAGCTGGGCTGACCCAACTACTAATGGATAATCTTCTCTGTGGCTCTTGACAATGGGAGAGGAAATGGCACTAGCTGTTCAGAGAGTTACTGCTGAATCCGAAATATCCTCCGTGGGCTTATGTTCAGAGAGTTACTGCTGAATGGGGCGATCTCTTTCTCGTTTCTTTTTTGTCTTTAACTCTATATTACATGGCATATTTTTATTTATTTTCATATGTATTTGCCGTATCCCCGATAGGCTGTTGTTGGAAAATGCCGTATCCTGTGTCCCGTATGCGTGTCGCTGTATCCGTGCTTTTTAGGTTGCATCTATAATTTTTGTTTTTCTCTTATCTATTGTTGCATCTACAGATGGTAAACTCATGGCACGATCATCTGGTTTTCTAATTGATTGGGATGAGGGGAGTAAAGAGGGCACTGTTTTGACATCTGCGCGAATAATCTGCTCAAAATACACGGCCCTAACCCAGTGGTCAGGTACAGATGAGTATGTACCTGATGCTGAGGTATGTTTACAAATGAATACGTTTGTTCATCTATGTATGCTAAATAACACTTGTCATAATATATGTTTTTGTATCTGTCTTTAGATTATTGCTCATTTGTTGGATGAAGATGAGACAACCGTACCTGCAATCTTGTTTCGCTATGACAAGCACATCAATATTGCCGTGTTGAAGGTTAATTTAGACTTGTGTGCTAAGATTCCTAGGTTTAGTAGTGACATAAACTATGGTCAGGAGATACTTGTGCTCGGTAGAGATGAACGTTTAAACATGACAATTGCTCATGGATGTGTTCATTTCATGGGCCCAACTACATACCAACGTCATCATTATCTATTCACTGGTTGTGAGGTATACTATCTTCATCGTGATTATCTTATAAATATTAATTATTAACTTATGTTGCTCATAGTTCTGATGTTGGCAATTTAAATATCTTAGCCCAGCATTGGAGGAATGGTTATTGATTTTGATGGGCACGTTTTGGGGATGGCTAATTTTCCCGGGACAGCATATATTCCTTCCTCTATTGTATTGAAGTGCTTGGATATGTGGAAAAAATTTCAGTAAGTTTTTCTTCTGTTGGTATCATTGTATGATTAAGTCATAAGAAAATATCTTGAGGAAACACAATTGATCTTGTGATGTGCTTGTGTTGATATATTTCTTCTTATATTGCTAAGTCTAATTTCTGTTGGATATTTAGACACAAAGCTTCATTCATCAAAATTGTGTTTTAAGTTATATGATATTGTTCATAGTTTTAGTTTTTGGAATTTGATAAATGACAATGTTGCAAGGTGTATCCCTCGCCTGCATATTGGGATGAAGCTTTCACCCATTAAATTTCTCGATCCAATTCATGTGGAGAGGATCTTTCGAAAGTGTAATATCGATTCGGGTCTGATAGTTAAAGAGGTAGATGTTGTCCACTGTTCCTTGTTTTCTTGAACAATGCTTACTAAATGCTATTGAGTAATGCATAACAAATTAAACTGTAGGTGTCCCATGGATCGATTGCTGAAGAACTAGGAGTTAGACCTGGTGATGTCGTTGATTCCGTGAATGGAGAGTGTGTTGCTACCACAGTTGAGGTAATTATTATTAACAGTAATAGCAATAGATGTGTTATGTTACTTCGTGAGTAAAGTCTATAGGAAAAACTCACATCTCATGTTTATGGTCTACTAAATAACTCACATTTATCATTCCTGTTGCTGCTATCAGTTGGAGAACTTAATTATGAGAATATGCGAGAATCATCTTGACCAAGGAGGAGCCATCGGTTCCTGCATGGACATTCTAGTATGTTTTTTTATGCGATGTTTAACTGCAGTTTACTTTTATATCTTCTATCAAAGCCCTTATGTTTATCCATAGTTACAAGCTAAAACTATGATCATACGAAGTCTATATACTCCCTCCGTCCCAAAATTCTTGTCTTAGATTTGTCTAAATACGGATGTATCAAGTCACATTTTAGTATTAGATACATCCGTATCTAGACTAATCTAAGACAAGAATTTTGGGACAGAGGGAGTACTATATAAAATGCAGTAGTTCTCATGTAAATCAACTCAAAACAGATTATTCTAATTTGTTCAGGTTAGTGTTTACTTACTCTTTTATTTAAGCTAGGAGTCCATTTTTCCACTATAGATGAATGGAAAATGAGATATTATGTATGTAGCAGATGGAAATATGGTTCAGAAGCCAGAGAAACTGTGAAAATAAGGCAAACAGAATTAACTAACTCAAAATAGCCTACAAAAGGCTAGTCAAGAAGAGACATCTGAATTTTTTTTAAAGAAAAGAGATTACTGGACATAAAAAACACATCATCCTTTTCCCCCAAATGTCTCTCGTGTCTCATCTTGCTATTATCCTTTTTCGCATCTATAGCTGCCCTTGCGCGGGCATGTGTCAGGAGCTTGAAGAAGTACATTAGCAGAAACATGTTGACTAGCAGCATCCCATGCCATCATTTACATCACATATTGCAACATGCCTTATAGTCATTGTAGTTCTTGTTTATTCATCCTGTTCAGCAGTTCTGCTTTATTTTTAGCAGCACGGGCGTGGAGAATTATCTCACTAGCAGATTAATATCAATCTTTTCAAAGCTACATCTGTTTCTTAACTTCCAAATTGCCCAACACACTGCTAAGCCATTTGCATGAATTCTTTTATCTGTGGTTAAGAATTTCTCAACCCTTGAGGATTTTTTTAGCTGATTGGGAAATAGCATCAGCATGAATGAACATAGCAATCTCTCTCCAGACAACCTTAGGTATAGCAGATTCAAACAACAAATATTGGACAGTTCCAGGATGACCTCAGATGTAGTATTTCACTATTTTGGATCACCCAGCCATTTTCTTTTTATTGTTTTGTCTTTTTTAACAACACATTTTCTCTAACAACCACAAAATGTTTTAACTTTGATAAGTATTTGAGCTTTCCATATGCGTGTAGAAGAACTATCACCATATCTCATCATCTATACAAATTTCACTGTAACCTGCCTTCATTTTCATTCCCCCAAGACCATGTGGTAACAGAAGGAACAACAGACAGACTAACCTATTGAGCTTGTGAAAATACAAAATCATGTTTATCTTTTGGGGCACCTGTTTATCATCTCCTAAAACTTTGTTGCCATTCATATAACATTGACTCACTGAGTATCCTTTTTATCACATATCATAAAGAGCAGGGTATTAGTGAGCAAAATTTATCACCAATCTACTTAGCCTCTCATTATCTGGTATTAACACCATTACAAATGATGATTTTCTTGCCTTTCAAATAAATATTTTGAATCTTAAGTAGGTCGGCGCAACAAGATCAGTCATCTGCCTTTTTTCCTTGACAATCTCCTGTCATAAACCTTCCCTTTTTAAGTGTCCACCACCATTTATTAGGGATACTTGCATTCATTTCCTCAAATTTTTAATAGCAAGACACATTTCTTTTTTGACCCACAAATATTATCCCATTTGACTTGGTGTTACGTTCCATTTGTCCCAGCGCTTTGTTCGACACTGTTCAGAAACAAGAACATAGGCATACAATAATTAGGGAGGTTGGATACCTGGGATTAATCAATGTAGTCATGCCATCAATTTACATATATATATGTACCTGGCAGATACCAAGGCTTCTCATGTTTTTTCTCATCTACTTTCTCCTAGTCAATAACTTGTGTTGTAGATGTAGTAACAGCTCCCCCCTCCCCCTGGCATCTTGAAGATGCATTGTCGTTAGCCATGTCATAATCAAATAGTGAGGAATCAAGCCGTTAATCGACCCATCATTCTGAGCTTATTGTACCATCTTAGCTATAATACGAGCAGCACTGCCTTGCACCTTTTTAACTCCTGACGTGTGATTATCTGGTTAGTAATTTGGCACTAAGTGTCCCATTACACGTGAATTCCAACCTCTAATACCAAGTTGGGCTAAAACCTCATATTTCCAAACACTGGGTGAGGACTGAGGAATGTCCATTTGATTTCTTCTTTTAGTTTCATGTGAATCTCATGTTGAAGCATGATCCTATCTGTTTTATTTCTGTTAATAAGGGCATTTTTAGTTTGTTTTATTAAAAATTTCATGTAAGGCTCCAATCTCAAGGTCAGTTGCATGTTCATACAAACAATTCAGCAGATGCGTCTGCCTTGTTGTATTTGGCTATTCGCTCAGCATGATCAACTTTTGGAAAGAAGGTTGACTATCCCATAATCTAGACCCCTAACATAAAATTTATTGTCATAAAACTCTTGAGAGCCAGGATTGTATGTATGATATTATTTTGACAATGTCCCTACACTTACGGAAAAATCCATCAAGATCACCAGTTCTGTTAAATTTCATTTGGAAAATAACATTCTTTTTAGTTTCTTCTTCAATAAAAGGCCTATCTAATTCACCATTGTCAATGTTTGATTGTCTCTGTCCTGCCAAAAATATTGGGATCAAATTTCCTACGCTAGCCCTAACCATCCTTTATAGAAGTCATTATTCAGCATTTTTATGCGAATTTCTGCCCCATTAATGATTTCTTCACCATTTTCAGATTTAGTATTCTTTCTCTTTTTACTACCGTTAGCGATCCTATGAAAACTAGTAGAATGCCCGTGCGTTGCTACGGGCTAAAATGCGCATAAATGAATCAAACAGATGATTAAGGTCGTCTCCAAGGTCAAAACTCATTTCTTTCTCATATGTTTGGATGTGTTCACACACCGCACAGGCTTCCCAAAATCGTTTGGGCAATCCAGCTGATATGTGAGGGAGAAATGTGGTTGTCCGCACTATCCGCCCTCTTAACTCCAACAAGCGGTCTCAACACAAAAACCAAACCCCATGGCCCACACTTCTCTTTTCCTCCTCGACCCTCCCCTTCACGCTGGGTTTCCTACCGTAGTGGGACATTTCTCGATGGAGTCCCCTCCTTTAAAACCGGATGATGCTCACCTCACCATTGCCATAGCTTCCTCTATCTTTCACACTATATTTCCACACAGACTGCCAAGGAGGCCCCTGCCAACCACACCGCTCTCCATCCTACTCCTCTCCCCCGTATTCATGTCAATCCGTCACCGCCATCAAGGGGTGTGCCGCCCGTGACACCCCCCGAGCCAAGAAGGCAGAATGACGTGCTTACCATGAAATAAAAGTATGATGTCCATTGTTGGGCATGCAAGTCTATTATTAACTCTTGAAGCAACCAAATTCAAAAAAAACTCTTGAAGCAACCAGCAATACATTTATCTTTCTATCCTAACCAAAAATTTGTACAATTTGGTGGGAAAAAATGAACCGCTCACTCATGCAATTTGCTACAAAGCGATCTCTAATGAAATACAATTTGCCACATTTTCAAAAGTAGGAAAATTGTTCCACTCAAACAGTCATAATTGAACAGACCAACCCCAACACCCATCCTGCTCATTCTCAACCCTCACTCGTATCACAAAATCTACTTCGTCGTGTTCTAAGTGAGCAAGTGATTAACACCGTCGTGGCAGGCCAGCGGCAAGGGACAAGGGCGGCAACTGCCTTCCTATCTTAGTGCTAGAAATCAACATGCACGTTTTTATAGAATTAAAATGAAAAAAGAAATTGCATGTATATCAAATTAAAAATTAACTGCACTCATGTGAATTGGACACGGTGGAACACAACCTTTGCCTTTGTCCCCCATGGTCACCGGTTGTCCAAGTAATGATGACATTTACTTGGTGAATGACAAATCAAAAGAGAATACACAAAGGACTCTGCCATCAGCCATGAGCCGTCGGACTTAGCAGCCACCACGCCATTCTCAAATTGTTGTTCATATTCACAAGATGGAATTATTCCAGAAAAATGGCTTACATGTACGTGTTGTATAATGAAATGTAAGTATACCTGTGTATGGATAATGTAGCCTACACATTTTGCACATAACTTTATTTTAAACAAAATTCAGCCATGGAAATTGCTAAGCTACTGTCTATGTCTTGAATATACTGAAATTGACTTCACTGGATCTATGGCTTGAAAGTGGGCAGGATCTGCATGTTGATCCAGCACACAACATCCCGTGCTCCCAGTGTAACCCAACTAACAAATCGTGAATATGCATATATGATGGATTGCATTACCTGAAACGCACATAGTCTGGGTTCTGGCCGAAGTGTTGCTTCCACACGTGATTGACGCCCCAACCGCGCACACCTGTACCCGCACTACACAAACATAGAAGCACGCGAGCAGCTGGAGTGTGAAGGAGCCATGAGGAGGCCAACCGAGGTCACAGAAGCCGGCATGGCCGCTTGCCATGGATGAAGATGAACTCTGTAACATTTCTCTTCACCTTTCAGAATCGTCAACCTAGGAAGGAACCACAAATGTATACACACACAAAAAAACTTCTTCCAATAGATCAGGGCCAACTCACTTTGGAGCTCCACCACTGCGATGCTAGGCCAGCAGCAGCGCTTGCCGAGCCTAACATGTATCCTCACATTTAGACAAAGCAAAACATACAAGATGACTGGTAGCCGATCATCATCAGGAACAAATCAAGGTTCATCCACTTGGTGCCTGTCGATGATGATATCCCATACAAGCCTCGAACAGCCTGCATGCCGGGTATTGTCCTCGTGGCCCTGACTGCAAATGATGTACCAATGATAGGAACCGGGTCCCTACCAGGACGAGCTCTCAGGTTATAGGGGTGGAAGGGAGGTTGGCGTGGAAATGGACCTCGTGGATGGGCACCCCGGGCGCCGTCGACGGAAGGCCCGGCCCCGAGA